TGCAATCAGCCCACGACCGGCATCCACGTACTGTGCCACAACTCCCACGGTGTCCACGGCTGGCTAAAGGTGTTGTAAGTGAGGGCATCGGCGCAGACTTGTCTCAGAGATGGAACTGAGGCCATGGCATCCATGTGCACAACAAAATCCTCCTATGATGTCCCTACCAGCTCCAGCTCACAGTTCAACTGTACCAACACTGCAGACAACGCAAGAATCACTGGCGTGAGTAGTGTTCGTCACAGTACTGGCTGAATTGGTCGAGCAGCGCAAACGGTGCTAGCAGTGTCAACAGGAATGATGGTGGCTCTGCCAGACGCATTCTCTGAACTTGTGCAAGCACCGTGATGGTTTTTCGGCACCAGCAAGTGCGGAAGAAGCCGCATAGAAGCCCAAACCTGATGCAGCTTTTACCTTCATGCTGTTTCCCTTGCAGTCGGCGCTCGTTCGTTGCCAAGACTGTGTTGAGCTCTTCTGCTACGACGCTTGCCACCTGTTCGGGTTTGGGGTTCACACGCTTTGTTTTCGGAACTTTGAGGCTTGGAGGCTCCCACAATTGCATAAGTAAGTAAGTAAGTAAGTANNCGCAGAAAACGCCACCGAAGTGAAAGCAGTTGAAAAAAGCGTGATCGTCAGGGATCTATGCATTTCTTCTGTGTAAGCGATTGTTGTCTGTATGTATGTATGTATGTATGTATGTATTTATGTATGTATGTATGTATGTGTATAGTATGTATATATATATACATATATGTATATAATAAATAAATAAATAATATTATTATTATTATATATATATATAATATGTGTGTATATGTATACATAAAGTATTGGAGATGGAGGTGCGTGACCAATCGCATGGAGCACGTTTGAGGCCTGTGTGGGGAAAGCTTCGCAACAAGTTCTGCATTCTCCACAATTTCAATTTCTCATGCAGACTCAGGATTGCTTCAAGCTGACTCATGCAGCTGGGCTGGGCCCCTGGAGGGTGTTGAGTCTATATAGGGATACATATGAGTGGCCTGAGATCGAGTTGCCGTTCATATGTAATGTGCGGTTTATGGGCTGGCAGCCTACTTGCCGCAGGAAGCGCAAACGGCACTGTGTCGGCCTTCCCCAAAGAACTTTTTGCTTCGAGTGCGACATGCGGGAGGCAGGTTGGCCGAGCGAGTACGTGCGCATGATGGGCGGTGGCAGCTCCGCATCTGTTGCGCAGCATAAGCTTACCACGGCCATAAGGGATGCTCGAGCTTGTTTCTCTGACATCCTGAAGGTCATCTCCCAACACAAGCTATGCACAGGGCCTGCATTTAGGAATGGGTCGGCACCTGTGATATCCCGCCTCTCCACACGGCCGAGGTTTCGGATCACACTTCCGCATGTACTGGGACAAGTCTCCGGGTTTACCTGATGCCCATGCATGAAGTTGATGTTTCGCTGCAGGCCCATCCGAAGGCAGTTCATGATAGCAAGTTGGTGTCGACAAGCATGATTGCCAAACGTCAGATATCAGTCTAGCTGTACGATAGCGAATTATCTACGTGACTAGTCATGCTTGGCATGCAGTAGCAAGCATAAGAATGCATTACAGCTATCGCCAGTGTAAGTGCACGCTGGTGTAAGCGAGGATAAAAATCGGGTCGGGCAGTGCTGCCCCAATTGAGAGTGTCTCGAATCGCAGCATGGCGGCAGATCAGGGAGGAAACAATGGGCAGCCTGTGGCGCAGCCCGTGAGCAGGGAGAAGATCTTGCATGCGCTTGCGTCTCTCATGGCCAACAAAGATGCAGCCTACGTTGCAGGGGTACGCAGCCGGGCAGCGAAGGGGAACTTGCAGATCAAGGGGGAGAGCATCACCGCCGAGATCGTGGATGAAGCGCTCACACGCCTGCCCAAGACGGAAGAGAAGGCCAAGGTGGCGGAGGCGGCTCCGGCAGTCGGTGCTCGCTGGACCCCATCCTCTGCTTCCATTGCATCCATCGTCAGCAAGGCGCTGATGGAGTGTGAAGATGCTGAGCAGTACATGGAGCGGGTCCGGGTTGTCGGGGATGCCAAGGTGGCAGTCTTGCCAAAGCCAGACGTCAACACCACGCCCACTGGGGAATTCCTCTGTTCAGAGGAGTGGGCAGACACTGTGGCACGAATGGTGAATCGCAAGGACGGCCGTGTCTACGTGCGTCTTCGCAACTTCAGCGGCTGGGTATCCTCACGATCCCGCAATGACTACAACAAGGTCGTGCTGGACGTGGAGGAAGGTAAGGCTCCCTTGGAGCCCGGCACTGCGCAGGTTATCGCAACCAGCCGGGCCATGCGCCTGCTGCCGCACATGACGCAGGAAGGCTACCAGGTCTCCAATGCCAGCGGCACGAAGGTCCGTCGCTTCCGCACCACTGTTATCACGCCGAAGCTTGTTTGGTCATAGTAACTTTTTGGCTGCGGCACAGGTATCGTGGTGTGCCAAACATCGTATTTGATTATCTGACGGAAGAACATATGAAAGAGCCATCCATTAGCGCTCACCATGTTTCGTCCTTTTTTCGACTCGCAACCTGACACTAAGGATCCTTCAAACGGCCGATTGCCTTTCGCCCAGCCTGGTCGTGCTTTTGGGGATGTCATTATAGGTCTTGAGTCCGCATGTCGGACGGATCAGTGGTTGCGCAGAGTTTCGGATTCAGTAGTTGTTTTGCTCTCTGGCTTTCGACTTTACGAACTGGTTCAGGAGCTGACTTGTTCATGCAAGCATGGGTTTAGCAAGTACGTGTTGCTTGTAACCATTGGCATCGAAGCAACAACAACACCCAGAGCAGCACGCACGTTGCAATCTCCTGTCAACGGCATCAGAAGCCACGTAACCCACGTAATCAGTGCGATACTGCTGTGCTGTTATCAGCGGCTTCGCACGTTTGTTTCATGGTAGCTACTCACAGTGCTTCTGCAGATGCAGCACCCGGAGGCTCAAAAGCACAGAACAATCCACCGATGCTGCTGCACAACCGACACACTGCTCTCAGGCAGCGCTGCCAATGTTGCCAAGCTGCAGCCAAAGGAGGAGTGATATTCGCCTTGCAAAAGACAAGAGTCAGAGGGCACACGAGGCAAGACCTTTGGCTGCTTGCGATGCGTTGCTTCTCGAGCATGTAGCCGTTGAAAGCTATGATTCCGCAAGGAGTTTCTTTCAGATGGCGCCTTCCTCCGTGCTGCGGACGGCCGAGCCTACCTTCACCTCAAGGAGAGTCGGATCTTTCGGCCAAAGCTTTGCGATTTAGTTGCTGCGATTCCCACGACAAATTACCGCTTTCGTCGGCCCCCGCGGATGTCTTTCTGCGAACAGAGTTTGTTGGGTAATATGATGCATTTCGTCATTCAAAGATTTAGTATCACGTGCAACTGTTTTGCTCTGCATTGCAACCGTTATTTTTAATCCTGACGTTTGGGGGCTTAGGCCTGTGCTGCAGTTCCCCTACTTTGAAAGTCCCGCATGTTCTCAACCCCCCCCCCCCACTCTCCCCCGAAGGATGGCAAGGGTTGGATCTGCGAGCGCACGAAGTCGGATTTTTCCAAGCTGGCTATCGAGCAGATGCCTTACGAGTTTCGGGTTTTTTGGGGGTTTAGAGGGTCTTCGGTTAAGGGTTTACGGCTGAGGGGTTGCAGCTTATTCCAGGTTGTCATTGCAGTGAGATTCAATTCATCTGTGCTCGTAGTTTGAAGCTATATAGCCTTGCCAGTGCCAGGAGAGCTTCTGGTGTTGAGCATCTAGGAGCCTTCCCTGCCCACCTGATGATGGACTAATGACACTTCCAACCACGGTCACGCGAGGAGTGAGATTCACAGTGAGACAGTTTTCTGGCATGCCGAATCAAAATCCTTCAATTGGCTAAAGCTCCATGCAATCCCACTGACGGCACTTGCTGTTTTCCACTGCGTGAACAGACCTTGTGGCTCCGCCGAAGATCTCGTCGAGGAGATTGAGGAAACCGGGCTGAATGAACGAGGTTTTGGGATTAGAGATGTAGCGTTGTTTTAGGGCTTTTTCATTAGAACTGTAGGATACCCCAAAGCCCTTTTTGGATCATTAAGGCCGCTGTACCATGTCAGCTTCGGTTAGGCTCATGTCGGAAGGTCGGCCGAGGGCTTCCGCTCCAGACTGTCTGTCGGGCTGCTTGCAACTCTCGGCTGCATCTTTCCCCTACTAAGTGAGTAAGGGCCCTTACTAAAGGCTACGAGCTGTTCAAACACCTGAGCACCCGGCCATTTGCCCTAAGCCCTAAACCCTAAACCCTAAGCCCGTAGCCCTTATAAGCCCTAAACCCTAAGCCCTTATAAGCCCTATAAGCCCTAAACCCTAGGCCCTAAGCCCTTATAAGCCGTAAGCCCTAAACCCTAAGCCTGCAGCTTCCAAAGACTTGCGAAAGGAGCCCGGGGTTCCGCAGCCTGCGCGGGCCCGTGCCGGGGGCAAGAAGAAGGCGGAACGATTCGTTTTTTCGTCTCGCTATGTAGGGCTTATAAGGCTTAGTCTCTCTATTTAGGGCTTATAAGGCTTAGTCTCTCTACTTAGGGCTTATTAGTATTTCTATTTAGGGCTTATTAGTATTTCTATTTAGGGCTTATAAGGCTCAGGCTTTTGCTTGGTACTTGTTCTTCATCATCTGCCACTCATGAGTTCTGCAGGGGCTGGAGCGTCAAATCCACACTGTGGTGGTAGTGGTAGTGGTAGCCGTCGTCGTAGTAGTAGTAGTAGTAGTAGCAGTAGTAGTAGTAGTAGTAGTAGTAGTAGTAGAGTAGTAGTAGTAGTAGTAGTAGTAGTAGTAGTAGTAGTATCAGTATCAGCAGTGTATTACATATTTAGGAGCCTCAAAAAAGCACAGGGGCGCCTGCAGTTCCTGCAGTCAAGGGGCGGGGGAGCTTTGGGAAGCATAACGTTCGGCAAGGGAGCTGAAGTCACACTTTCCAGTGCGCTCTTGCAATCATCATTATCATAGGCGTCAAGATAGCCCACAAATCCCCAAACTCCCACACTCAAGCCTGACAGAGAGAGGGAGAGATAGGAAGGATGGAAGAAGAGAGCCTGTTGGCTTCCATCCCTCAGCCCCTTGAAGACCCTTGCATGTCTCATTGCTTCGCTGCAGCTAACTTTTGGTCATGTCTACTTAACATAGTTTTCGGGGGATTTCATCGTCGTCGTCATCGTCATCACCGCCCTCGACATCAGCATAAACAATCATCAGAGCCACATACATTTTCAAGCTCGCTCGCAGCCCCATCTTCATCAATTTCTTTGATTATCGGTAGCAGCGACACCACCACCTTCTTCTTTCATCACATGTTTATGTGCCTCGTCAGTGTCTTCTTACTCGTCCTCATCTTACTTTGGCGAAGGCAACAATGGCAATGCAAAGTGAACTGTTCAGCCAACTACCTGTAGCAGGTCTTCCTGCTGGAGCATGCCGAAGTTACCGAAGTCGAGACCGTGGCCCACGATGCTGCACAGCCAGGCAGAAGGTTACTTGTTGATGTTTCGCTGTCCGGCTCTTTGGTCGTCCGTTCCTGTTTCCGAGCGCGGGATATGTATGAGCTCGGTTCACCGGGCTGCCGCACTATTATTGTATCGGGTTTGAAAGCTGCCATGCCAGAGTAGTCCTCTGGACCCGGATAATCCCTACAGTGAACGAAGCCTGCTTGAAGAGTCGGTATGCTGCAAATTCCTCTTCCAAGCAATGCTTCCAAGTCGCTGGCTGGGACCCTGCCACAACTTGTAAGTGACCGGGGCAGCCAGTGGCAAGTATTTGCAATGATCCCCTTCTACATGACCAGGCCGAGTAGGACCGCCGCAATGATCTTCATTGTGAGTTTCGCAGGTGGCGATGATTAAAAAAATGATGGTGGTGGTGATGATGATGATGTGGAGCGATGAGCGTGACGACAGTGGATGTCAGTACCCACTGTGTAAATGGTTCGTTTACGTCATGGTGAAAGACAAACCGTCTCATCGTGACGTTGAACCTCCCCATCATCAACATCACCGGGATGAAGAGCGTCCTTTTTCATTACCATATGACCATCACCCCAACCATCCGCATCATCTGCGGTCGCATCATCGTCATCTTCATCATCTCCATCGCCATCTTCACAGACAATATTACAGTCTCCATCAACGCCACCATCACTACTGTATCGTATGTATCATAATCGCCAGCTTACTCTTCAAGCTCGTCATCTTCACCAGTCTGATTACTCTCATGGTCTACCATGGCTAACACTTAACTTGCAGGCTGCTGGTAGGCTCATGACCAATGCCAACCTCCCATAAATCTTTTCAGGGGCCGATGCCGAGGCAGCACCACCTGAGGTGCTCGTGCATCAGAGTATGACACTGTGCTGTGCGTGTTCGGTGGATAGGAAGTTGGTGTTTTCCACGGGACATCGAGGTCTGGGGATGCTTGCTCCGGTGGTTGCGGCTTCCCTAAACCCAAAACCCCCAAACCCCTAAACCCTTAGACCCTTATAATTCACAAGCCCTAAGCCTAAGCCTCTAGACTCCCTAGACCCTTATAACTCATAACTCCTAAACCTTAAACCCTCAACTCTCTGTGGAAGTTCCGCAGGTGGTCTTTCGCTCCGACGCAGAGATCTGGCCTGAGGCATCCGGCTGTGTCTTTTCGTATTCTTTAGGGGTTTAGGGTAGAAAGGGTTTAAGATATATTTTAGGGTTTGGGGGTTTTTAGGGTTTAGGGTGTGGCAATGTCATGGGTGCTCGCTGGTGTGTGCACACCCAGGCCGCTCACCTGTGCCCCTCAGCGAAGACCTCTTCGAGTTTAGGGTTTAGGGGCGCTTTGCTGAAAGCATCCAACATGACTTTCTCCCGGCTCATGGTTGATTCAAAGAGAGGTCTGCGTTTTTCAAGCGGGCAATGCTGGAGTTGGTGCCTGTTGGACTTTTGAGGGTTTCTCTCATCCACACTCCGCCTGGAATGGCAGGAATATCACCCTCCAAAGCCCATCGGACGCACCACGCGCTTGGCACTTCGGCGTCGGAAGCTCAGAGAAGGTTCTACTGTGGTCCTGAAGGGCTTGCAGACAATGAAACAGACGATCTTTAGGCTTAGTGTTTAGGAAAGGGTGCATTATAAGTTATCGTGAGGTTAGCAGAAGCTCCGCAGCTTTGCCCAAGGCCTTTTCGTCTGTCACGGGAAGAAGGTGAAGGAGTGTGAAGAGGATCCTGGCAGTCTTCATGACCTGGGCCTTTCGTCATTCGGGGTTCGGCGGTTTTGAGGATCAGACCACCACTGCATCATCAACCACAAAAATAACAATTTGCAACGACACCTGCAAATCGCCAACGAGAAAGCGCCCAGTCACAACTCGAGCCACTGCAGCGTTGTACACTGGACTCTGGTGTTCATGCAGAATAGACTCGGACCTAGGGGTTGGGGACCCTCAAGAAAGTTGCATCGATGATATGATGTAGCCAGCCAGCAACTGCAGCAAGAAGCAACCGATGCCCCGGTTCCTGTCAGACACATCCGCACCTCCTGTCTTGCGCGGTTGTTGCGGGCTCTTGATGCTGCAATAAAAAATCCCGGAAGAAGGAACTAAAGGGAGCACGTAGAGGTCCCGCTTTGCAGTCTTCTGCACTCATGTGATCATCACAGTTGCGGCTTTCGCTGCCTAAAAAAGCCAGTCGGTCCCAGTTGCAAACAGAGGTTGTTCGAATTTCCCGCAACATTTCAGGAATTCCATCCGAGGCCTTTCCCCTCTCCGAAATCCATCGGAAGCTCCGAGTCAGAGATGTGTCCTGCTGGCCAGGATTTGAAGGAGGTGACTGCCAAAGCAGCCACCTTCGGTCGAGCCTGCCCTGCTCAGAAGGTGCCCAGCCTGCGCAGTACATGCGCGTATATGTATGTGTGTGTGTGTGTATATATATATTATAAAACAAACAAAAGCACTCCCATTGCCATAGTCTTGCCAATCACTGCCTCGAGATGCAAGAGTTAAAGGCAGTCAGTAAGGCTGTTCGCGACAGGGTGGACAGTGGACAGAGACTGGCATGTTTCTCAAAATGTGCCGGGAATCTACACCAAGACATTCCTGCGCTTGCAGGTGTGGTCAGGTTGCGCGATGGAGATCATTACAATATCCGGCCACTGCAGCAACAAGAAAAACTACTCCAGCAGTTGCTCCACGATAGTACCCCGATGCAGTGCAACCGAAGCTGATCTGCAAAATAGATTATGCACTGTGCGCATGTCGAAATCAGACATTTCTCATCACGATGCTGATGATGATGATGGTGATGTTGACTGTGGTGATGATGATGAAGATGATGCTGACTGTGGTGACGATGATGACGATGGCGAACATAGTCCTGCTCTTCGTGCTCGTACATGATTGTACCCATCGTAGTTCGAATCGAGAACTATCGAATTTCCAGGGCGACCATGATTGCTAGCAAGAGGCTCCCAGCTTCGTTCATGGTAAACCCTGTGCCCTGTGAATTGCTGTGGCAGCAGGAGCTGCTCCAGTACGCCGAGGACCTAAAAAAAGAGATGTCTGAGCCCCAGACGGCGCTTCTCCAAGGTTTCAGGTTTTCGAAGTTTGGGCTGTAGGCCTTCAGGGTTTCGGGTTCATAGTTGAGGCCAGCTACTACATCAGGTGTCAGGCGTCACCATACGACATTACTCTGATTGGGCACTACCCTCTTAGACCCCAGGCCCCTCAAATGTGTGACACTGCATGGCGGACTTCCGGCGGCATAGTGTCCGTTGTCGCCCATCAACGGAAACTGACCCATCCAAAGTCTGTGCACGCTGCGGAGATATTATTCCACGATAAATTAAGCTGCCACAACCGGCACCTGAAGCCAACGCACGTGCAGGCAGAAGGCGAAGAAGGAGTGGTCTGCCGCAGCCTGGATCTTAACTACTCCAGCACTTCGTCTTCACTGTGATGGCGGCCCTGTATGTGGTGCTGGTGTCATTCTAAAATCACTTCCCCCTAATCAGAGTCTTTGCCGAAAGCGGGCTCTCCCGATGCATCTTTGGAATCGCACGACATGTGCGATTTTGTAGCAACCGGAAGTTCCGTGCCTCCGTGCGTTGTTTGCTTTGTCCGTGGCAGCCTGTTCTGTCGTCTGGTGCTAGGTGAACTCAACGGATCCGAATTTGACAGATTTAACGCTCATGTTGTGGAGATCTGCAATCATTGCCATCGTCGCACCGCTCTGAATGCCGCGATCACGTTCGTAGTCCTCGTTTGGATAGCGACTGCTGAGTTGGATGACATGGTGTGGCGGCATGGTCAGCACAAGTCGAATCTGTGAAGGTCAAGAAGGAACTGTCCGGATCTGTGCTGCTCTCAGAATGCAGATGTGGCAGGGCCCTGCAAGTCTCCAGTCGTCTCAAAGTACCTCTGCTGCAATGCAGCTCAATGTAAAACCGGACCAGAAGCTCCCTGTACAGATTCCTGTTTCAAGCGGGTGCATCTGTTGGTTGTGCAGCGTGCTCATGACTCATGTGTTGCAAGAACATGAAAGCAGAGAGGCCGCTTTGTCTCCGGGTGGCCACTCACCTGCGAAGTCCGACGCATCGAAATCTGCCAGTACCCTACAGCGCTGACAGGACTTGGTAGCAGATTCGCAGGCTGATGTGTCATATGCTGTTTCGTGGACTCCTGTGACTTCGCTGCTTTCAACTCGTGCTTATGATGCCTTCCTGATGAGTCCGTCATGGTGTCTCGAGTGTCTGTTGGAATTCTATTCCATACTCGTCATACCTTGTCCATCGTTGTTTTCTTGCAGCAGCCCCGTATCTGATGTCTCCCTGGACTCAGACATCCTCGCTCTGTTGATCAGACAAGATTCGATGTTCCCCGTGAACCCGAATAGCTGAGCTTGCGGGGTGGTGCGGAGTCTGCAGGGTCTGGTAGGAATTTGTGTAATTCCCAAATCATCAAAGGTTCGGCCTCTCTTGGCGCGCTGTTAACTAAAGTAACTAAAGCATGCAAGTCCAGGTCTGGCCACGGTTCAACCCCATGCTCCGCAGCTGTTGCTAGATCAAGCTGTTGCCAGACGTCTTCGGCCACTGAGAGGTGCCACAGCTTTTCCTGCGCCTTATGTGCTGACTGACTAGTTTGCAGGGGATCAGAGGTGACTGCTGGAGAGTGGATACTGTACACCGGATACAAGGATGCTGCGACAATGTCCAGCACTCTGCATGCCTGCGCCCAAATTCCCAAGCCGGCCCACTGAACGGGCAGCCAACGTGGCTGAATTATTTGGCTAGTGTGGGGGCGGATATTGTGTCGGCTGAAGGGCTGAAGTCGAGATCTAGCCGAAAGACTGCAGTTCACACATCTGTAGAAGCCCTTCATCCCCTGAGCACCTCTCGAAAACACTACTGCCTGCATCGCAATCTCTCCATCCAAAAGCCAAGCGCTCGAAGCCTGGTCCCAGAATGTCCCAGACACTATACATGTCTATAAACCCTTTCAGGGATGGCAAGCGATGGCCGCGGGATGACCCTGGGCTTAGCCCTGGGGGCAGCTTTGGTAGCGGTGCCCCGTCACGTTTTCAGAACTGGGGGGATAAGGTGCTATAAGGTGCTACTCTGAACAGCGTAGAAATATCGAGGCCCAGGTCAGCAGATGCTGGTTGGGGGATGTCCGATATTGATCTGCAAACGATCGGCCGAATCAGGCCTTGGCCAGTTGCTCTGGCCTAGACCCGTGAAGCACACATATATATATACACATACATACATATACATATATATATATGTTTACACCAATTATGTGCAACATGCAAGCAAATCAATAGAACACCGGAGCGTGTCGCCATCGACTCAAGACCATAGCAGCAATGGTGCGCTTACCGACTGCGAAGGGGCGTTGTCAACAACAAAGTAGGCACAGCTGTTTAGTCACGAACGGTGAAATGCTCACGGCTATTGACCTCTTGCTGCTAGGACATTATCGCGATGCATGATTCTAGGTATTGTAATGAATAGCACCCTCATGTTGTCTCAGCATCTCTCGCATTGCGGTGATGATTCGCTCGCGCGCAAGTCTACCTTTCAACGCATTTGGCATCCCATGCAAGAGTCGTACGTACGCCTTGACTCTTTCAGTAGTGAGAAGTACAGCCTGTTTACATCATGTTGAGGGACTTGGTGTCAATTTTGCTTGGACGGTTCTCCTGCAGGCACCGGCATTCGTTCCTGGTGCCAGCCGGCCGTCGGCACCTAGCACTCCAGGCCTGTATACATACCAATCATTACAGATTATATACAGTTACACATTCATGTGTGGGTATGTGTGTGTATATATATATGTATATATGTATATATACATACATATATATATATGTATATATATATATGTATGCATATATAAATATATAGTATGTGTGTGTATGTATGTATGTACACACATGCATATACATATATATATATACACACACATACATATATATATATATATTTGTGAGGCTGCATTCCTATAAAAGCCTGGAATATGTTCAAACTTACTGAAATACAAAAATTCAATGCAGAATGCAAAACTACGCAAACCACAAATAGAAGGAAGATGGCACAAGAATGGAACCGGTGCTCAACGCAACTTTCGATTTTCGTTCTATCGTGTTTTTTTTACGTACCCCCTATTCTATTTTCTATGTTTTTTCTTATTTTATTTCTATTTTCATCTAAGTTATTTCCATTTGTAGCAGGGCCCAGTCTACCTTGCATAGATTTCCCATATCTGGCAAATACTGTCCCGGCAGGAGATTTTTGAATGAAATAGGTGGACAATACAAACAAAAATAGAACACAATTTGAATTAACATAGAACAGAAACGGAAAGTGGCATCAGGGCGACGTCCAATTGTTGGTGTTATGTTTCTTACTATTGTTTCCCCTTTTTCTCGCGGCTTCAACGCATTCCAGGCTTACATAAGATTCAGCCTCACAAATATATATATATATATATATATACATACATACATACATACATACACACACACACATATATATATACATACTGTTTCGTTTATTTGTTGATTTACTTATTTGCTTGCTTAATCCCTTGTTTCTTGGATATTGTAACTCATGTTGCACTCATTGTTGTTTTTGCTAGTAAAGTGTAAACTGGTATGTGTATATATATACACAGTTATGTATGTATGTCAGTATGTCAGTATGTATGTATGTATGTATGTATGTATGTATGTATGTATGTGTGTATGTGTGTATGTATGTATGTATGTATGTATGTATGTA